GTCTTCTGTTTTGCTTAGTTTTGTTTACGTTTTGTTTGTTTTTGAGGAAATGCCCAGATCTTATTTGCACAGATTGATAGAGTTGAACAGGTACATGCACCTGAGTAACCTACACCTGAAATGAGATACAAAGTATTTCCATCACCCCAAAGTTTCTCTTCCCTGTCAATCTTTACCCTCAGCCTTTGTAACTGCTGTTGTGATATTATGTACAAATGAATTTATAGAAAATGGGCTGTTTTGTTTTGTTTTGGTTTGGTTTGGTTCTGGGGATTTAACCCAGGGGCGCTTAACCACTGAGCCACATCCCCAGCCCTTTTTATTTTTCTTATTTTGAGACAGGATCTTGCTAAGTTGCTTAGGGCCTCAGTAAGTTGCTGAGGCTGGCTTTGAACTCATGATCCTCCTGCTTCAGCCTCCCAGGTCACTGGGATTACAGGTGTGCACTGCTGCACCTGGCTAGATAATGGGCTCTTTGGGTACCATCCTCTTTCTTTTAGCGTAATGTACTGGAGGTACTTTTATGCCTGTGGTTCTTTGTATTGACCAGTGGTCCTCCATTTGTCTGAATAGGCTGAAATTTTTTCATTCATTTTCCTACTGATGGACATTTGAATTGTCTCCACTTTAGGGCCATTAGAAATAAAGCTCCTACAAACACCACGTGGAAGTCTCTGTGTGGATATGTGTTTTTGTTCCTCTTGGGTAAACACCTAAGGGTGGAAATGCGGGGTCAGAGTAGATGTATATTTAATTTTGTAAAAAGAAACTAATAATAAAAATATGCCTGGTCTTATCTTCAGATCCTGACACAGAGCTCCTAAAACCCTCGCAATTTCCTGAGTGACAGGATGCTAGGAACATCTTTCATTTTAATATTTGTTCTTTTACACTGGTTCCTGACACAAACCTAATAAATCCCTTGCCGTTTCCTGAATGACAGGAGCATCTCTCGTTAATGAGGTGACTCTCGGTGGGGTCCTGGCTGGTTTCAGGATGGGGGCTGGTCACTGGAAGGAGCAAGCCACAACTGGAAGCCTAGAATCTTCAGCCTCACTCCTCACCTCTGGAGAAGGGAGAGCAAGTGGAGATTGAGTTAATGATTGTTCATGCCTCTGTGATGCCCTAAACCCAGAGTTCAAAGGGCTTGCAGGTTGGTGGGCACATCCCTGTGCCAGGAGTGGCTCATCCCAACTCTACAGGACAGAAACACCTACTCTTGGGTCTCCCTCAGACCCAGCCTCTGTATCTCTTCATCTGGCTGTCAGTGTGAGTACTTCCCTGAGTTTGGTGAGCTACTGTAGTAGATTATTGATTCTAAGGAAGGGGTTGGGTTATAGGAACCTCATTTTTTGTAACTAGTTGACCAGAAATATAGGTGACAAGTGGAAATTTGTCATTGGCATCGGAAGTGGCTGCAGTCTGTTGGACTGAGCCTTTAACCTGTGGAGTATAAACAGCTTCAGGGTTTAATTGAGTTGCAGGACAACCACTTGGTGTCTAGAGAGTTGGAGAATTTTTGTTAGTGTGAAAAAAGCCACACATTTGGTGTCAGCATTGAAGTATTATAAGAGTATAGAAAGACTTGGTTTTTCCCTCTTTAGTAACAATGCTTGTATCATTTTACACACTTACCAGTAATGTGTGAGAGTTCCATTTATTCCTCCACTTCACCAACACTTAGTATTATCAAACATTTTAATTTTAGTCACACCGGTAGCTCTGTAGTGGTATATCAGTGTGGTTTTAATTTCCTTTTTTTAGTTTACTTCTTCGTAATGACCAATGATGTTGAGACCTTCTTCACATGCTTACTGACTACTCCTATGTCTTTGTTTGAGAAGTGTGGCTATTCAAATCTCACGGCCTTTACTTATAGTTGATAGTTAAGTTAGTCATGTTTTCATGACTATAACAAACACCTGAAACAATCAACTTATAAAGAGAAAAGGTTTATTTTTCACTCATAGTTTTGAAGGTTTCAGCCCATGCTTGACTGGTCTGTTGCTTTGGGGCCTGTCTCAAGGTGGCTCATCGTGGAGGGAGTACGTGGCTGAGCAAAGCCACTCACCTCATGGTGGGGAAGCAAGAAAGAGTAAGTAAGTAAGAGTCTGGGTCCCACAAATCCCTTCAAGGACACACCTCCCCCGTGACCTGAACACCTCCCACTAAGCCCACCTCTCAACGTTCCCACCACCCCCAGTAGCACGTCTACGGAACCCACCTCTACCACGTGGACCTCTTGGGGGGAAAATGGCCCTTATTTCTTCCTTTTCCTCCCAGTCTCATTTCCCCCCTCGTTCCTATTTGGAATCCACGGACACATTTATTATGCTGCCTGAGGCTTTGCCAAGGTTATTGAGCCTTTGTTCGTTTTCTTAGTCCCTCTTTGTTCTCTCTGCTTCAGTTGAGATCATTGCTATTGACCTGTTTTCGAGTTCACTGATCTTTTCTTCTGCAGGGTCCAACCCAAAGTTAAAGGCATAGAATGAATGTTTCACTTCATAGATTGTATTTTTCCGTTCTGTAATTTCCAGTTGCCGCTTTTTGAAGTCTCTCTCCTTTAAGATATCTCTGGTCATCTTTTTCTTTTAACCCTTGAATTTTTGTTATGGATGCTTTAACATTTTTTCTGTTGCCCACGTGTGTCATTTCTGGGGAAAATTCTCTTTTTACTAGAATTTATTATTCTCCTGGTTATGAAGCCAGATTTAAAGTTAGGTAGTGAGTGTAGTTAGGTAAATTGGGTCTAATACCGAGTGAAATCTAAAATGGAGGCCATGCTGGGAATGACTCAGGGAAAACTCAGGAGGATTCATGGAATGTTAGTGAAGTCCTGAAAAGGCCCTAGGCCAAAGTCCACCTCAAAGAAGTGTTAATGAACAGCCCCCAACAGATTTGGAGATGGCCCATCCCAGAGAAGTGATGAGCCCATCCCAAAAGTCCTTCCTGCCCTTTTGGCCCACCGGTGTCCCACCCCTCGGGCCTTCCAACCTACATTCCATCACTGAAAGAACTATAAAAAGGGGAAACATCGCACTTCCACGGATTCCACCTTTTGGGTCCCCTTCTTCCTCTGGGAGAAGTCTTTTCTGCTGTCCTTAATAAACTTCTAATTTCTACTCTGACCTTGCCTCGGCGTGCTTCTTTGGTGTTATTCTTCAACATCAGGAAGCAAGAACTCGTCACCGGTCAACAGCCGTAACAGTTATAGGTCATATTTTCTGCCACTGTATGTGTCTAGTAATTTTCTTATTGAATGCTGGACATTGGAATGCTGTAACGTTGAACCTGGAGTATGTTGTCTCAATTTTGAGTGTTGAGCATTGCTTTAGCGATCCAGGTATCAAGGCTCAACTTGATCCTGCTGAGGATCAAGTTGTTACAGGGGGTCAAGGGTGGCCCGAATGGCAGGCCAAGAGCAGGCCTAAGGATTGGCCTACGTGAGCTTCAGCTGAATGCTCAGAGTCTTCAGTGAGATGGCTAAACTGCGGCTGCCACAGATCCAGTGTCTTCCGTCTCTGTGGAACCTCAAGATCTCTCCAGCTTACAGTCCCTTGGTAGCTGTTCTCTGCCAGCCTGTGCAGAGTCTTGTGCACCGTGCAAGTTTTCATCTGGTCAAAGACTGAAGAGAACCCCCATGCGGCAACCTGCCTCTGAAGTCTGTCACTCCACCCACGAGACTCTGGCTGTGGGTTGGGATCTATTTCCTGGGTCGCCATTTAGAAAGTGTCACCGGCAGAAGTCAAGGGGGAAGGTGCAGCTTGCCTCATGTTTTTCCTTTGCTCAAGATTCACTGGTTGTATTTTTGTGAGTTTTTACAAGCACTGAGCCAAGCTCTTGGCACCTATTAGGTGCTTAGTAAGGTGTTTTGAAAGGAGGAGGGTGTGATGGATTTGGCTCCTTTAAGTCCTACTTCTGGAAATACCCACCCAGAGAATCAGTCTCCATCTCCTTCACCCACACCCAGCTTGTCCTCAAGGGTAACCAGCTTCCCTTCAGGAGCTGGCAAGCAGTTTTTAGTTTTGTTTGGTTTGTTTTTTTGTTTTTTAATTTTTTTTCTTTTTCTTTTTGGTGCATTCTTGGGATTCGGTTTGTAAAGCTTTGAGCGTGTCGAGAATGATCAGTTAAGATGCACACAGTCCTCTGGGGGATTTGATACACTTTTTCCACATCAGCTGAATGCTCTCTGGAAGAATCATGGATGGGGGGAGGGGCTGTGAACCACTTAGCATAAATCACCATTCAGAACGGATTCCAGAAGCCCCGCACGCATG